AAAATATTGTTAAGCTTTACTTAATTGAATATATATATATATATATATATATACTATAAATTATCAATGGAATATTTTCTGCCTTCACACTATTTTATATTCATTGCTTCTCGTTCAGTATCATCCATATAAAATTTACCCACAGGCATTAATATTAACCTACTCTTGAGGGCTCCATGGAATTTTGAATTTAATCCATCATATGTTTCCTATGTCTATTTGCTACACATTACTTTGTGTTATATAAATATTTATGGACAGGTGAGAACACAAGCATATCAAATTAAGAATGATCTATATAAAATCAGTATTTTAAATGACTAATGGTCATAGAGAGTGAACTTAAAGCTATTATGAATTATCCAGAGGCGCCAGGAAACATTGCTTCCATGATGTCCCCTTTGTGTAGGCTGCTGAGAGCAGGCAGCCTAGGTAGAATCCTGAGTGCCTCTGAGGTCTCATGATTCACATGACTTCAATGACTTTGAACTTGTCATTTATTTCAGGGTTGCCGAGATCTTTTTAGCTTTCATCTGTTCTCTGACATTCTCTGTACAGCAGCCCCCAATTCAATCACATGGAGAAAGGAAATAGCGTGAAGCTGATGGGGAGGAGTTAGTGAGGATCAAGTATCAGCATCGTTGAAATGACCAGGGAGGCTTTGTGGAGCCCACTACCTATGGTGGGACACCTGACACAGCCCTGGCGGGGGGTGGGGATGGAGGGTGGGTGTTGGACCTGCCTCTGCTGAATGTACCAGGCTCTGCTGAATCCCCATGGGAGGCTTTACCTTCTTGTAGGAGGGAATAGGGGTTGGGTTTGGTGTTGGGGGGGAGGCTGGAGGGGCAAGAGGAGGGAAGAGGGGGATCTGTAATAGTTATGTAAAATGAATAAAAAAAATGACCAGCGAGGGCAGAAAATGGCGTCAAATCTGAGAACTTGCATCTGTGGGGTTTTGACAGTAACAAAAAGATACATTTCTAATTATCTGAATATTACTGTGTTTCCTTTTGGGTGTCAAAATTGAGAAAGAGTTCATTTTTTTTTTGTATTTTCTATATTCACTCAATTTTTCCAAAGAGTATGAATCCTATTAGTGATCATTTAAAAACCCCAAATGAGCCAGGAATAGTGACACACACCCTTAATCCCAGCTCTCGGAGGCAGATCTCTGAGTTTGAGGCCAACCTGATCTACAGAGAGAGTTCCAACCTGGTCTACAGAGCGAGTTCTAGGACAATCAGGACTACACAGAGAAACTCTGTCTCAAAACACCAAAACAAAAAAAAAACCTAAAACAAACAAACTAAAACACAACTGTTTCTATTTGGAAAAAAAAATACTAGTCCTTAAAATTACCTGTAAGTTAACTTATTTTCTTCAGAGACCTAGACAAAAGAGTAGTATAGACTAACTACACCACCACCTCTTCCTAACCCTCCAAACGCCATATGTGATAATATGAAAGTATATGAAAGTGAGGCAAGTTATTTAAACAATGATAAGTAGGCAAATAAATCCATCTTTTTCTAATATAATAGGCAAAACTAAGCCACTAAAGTCTGCAATTACCATTTTACACTGAGGAAAACCCTGAAGCATTAGAAAAGGTTGAAAAAAAATACTCAACTGAAAATGTACCTGAGTGGATATTTTTCCATATACTTAAAATTCAACAATTAATGACAAAACACTAAAACCTATGAACCTGCATTTTTAAAAATAGCATTTAAAGTGTCCATGAAAGAGGCTATTGTTCAAAACTTTAGAGTAGACTATATTTATCCAAATTTTACATTAACTATACTCTCTAGTGATTTTTCCCTTGCTGATTAATGAGATTTCTTGCTATGCAAAATTTATTTAACACCATTAGGAAGAACAAATAAGGTAATAAAGTTTAGATAGTTTGTGTATTGTAGAAAAGCTCTTGGCAAGAGATAAAGAATGGCTTTGATCACTCTGTGTATGTTTAATTATTGTGAAATGGAATTCTACTTCCAAAGTCATTTAAATGTCTGGTAGGAGGTCAAGATGTGTTGGAAGGTGCCAGCATTCTCTCTATTTATGCATTTATTCCCCTGAAAATCCAAGGTTGTGATAGCCACTGGGTAGGCTGTTCTTCCTCCCTGGACAGGGCTTCTGTTTATAAAGCACAAGCTCTGTTAACCCTAGACCTTAGTCAACACTAATCCATCAGAATCAGCCACATGCTGCTACCAGGGTTATCTAAGAATCAGTTCTCACTTTGGAAAGCAGAGAGCTGAGGTCTGCAGGGATTATTATAAAGGAAGAAATTTTAGTAGAGAACACAGAGGGAAGACCAAGTTTGGAGTCCAAAACACCTCTAAGTTAGCCAGACCAAACAACACACCACTGTTATGAGATCTGAACACTAAAAATGTCCCTTTGAGGTATGGAGGGGAGGGGGAGCCAGTGATATGGAGCAGGGGAGTAGAAGGAAAAGAAAGAAGAAGGGGAGATATGCTAGAAGGGAGATAAAACCCTGGTCAACCTCCCTCTCGTGTACTCTGAACTCACATGCCTGTGTTCCTCCTAGACATCTCTACTCAGAGGCCAAAATCATCCTTTTGTTCAACTTCTTGCTTTTCTAGCCAAACTCATCTCTCTATCAACATTCAACAACTTATTAGAGATGCTGCCATTCGCCCAGCTGTTCTGGTCAAATCCTTGGAAGTCAGTTTAATTTTTGCCTTTCCTTCATTATCAACCCAATACATTGGCAAGTCTTACTTTTTCCACTACCAAAACAGACCCCAATTCTATTCACTCTTCTCCATCTACTCTAGCATTGCCTGAGACCAAGCATACAGTATCTCTTCATAGAACTCTTGTTGCATTATCGTGATTAAACACGTTCCTTTTGCTGGTGTTTACAGTCGGGCCTGCACATGGTAGACAGAATCAACTTATAAAATAAAAAAAAATGACTTAAAATTTTTAGAACATGCCATCAAGTTTGCAGAGTAAAGGGCACATTCCTGATGCTGGTCCAGAAGTCAATGAGGTCCTGCCTCTCACACATTGCCTCCTATACCAGATTCTGTGTGGCAGCTATGACTTGCCACAGTGACCTGGGTTTTGATTCTTTGACTACACCGTGGTCTTCGAGACCTTTGTCCTTTGTATCTTTGGTGTCCTCTCCTGGGACAAACTTTCCAGAGCTTTCATTTACACAAATCCTCCTCCTCGCTCTTGTCTGAGCTCAAATGTCATTTTCTCTGAGAAGCGGCAAGTCCTCCTGGCTCCAGTCACTACCTGACACATCGCCTTGCTCTGCTTTCTTCAGTCTCCTGAGTCTCAAAAATTTACCATATTATACATTTATTACACTTGATCTTAGCCAAAAGGCCGAGAAGCGATATATTATACATTTATTGCCTATTTCCAACCATCATAAAATGATTTCCATGAAAACAGGGCTACAGCCCACTTGTTTCTGTAACACAGCCGCCGCCGCCGGGACTGTGACCTGTGCCATTTGCAGAAACACACAATGCCTGCGATCCTGTCCCCGTGGCTGAATGAGCATGAAAATCTATGTTTACTTGCCTAACCTGTAGAAACTCTACCATATTCTATTCAGCAGGAAAAGGGCAGGAGGAATGAGTAAGTACCAGGTGATGCTAAAGTTTCATCAAAAAAATTTTGAACAAAAACCGTCCAAGAACAAGCCCATGAGAAGGTCATTCCCAAAGAGAAATGTAAAATCCCCACAGTGACTTAAGACCACTGGCGGGAAAACCTTAACAGCTGAAGATTTAAATAAAAATGTTATTCAGTACTATTCTTGCATTCTTCCAAATGTTTCAGTCATGAGAAACCATACACTGTACTCTTAAACCTTAAGGAATCCTGACAGTAATTTTTATCAACCACCTTAGTTCCTAAGTGAGAAATCAAAGCTACAGAAGTTAAATGACTACCCTTCCATCCCTCTGCCAGGCAGAGATCACGATGGGACTTGAACTCTTGACTTTTTATTCCAAGGTCAGTATTTTCCAGGCTATCAAATTGCTGGCATCCTCTTGGTTACAAATAAGATTCTCCTCGTCACTACTGACCTGACTTAAAAGTCATCTTTTCAGAGTCTGATGAAGAAAAGAAGTCTCCATTTCTTTTCCTGAGAATTGGGGAGTGAGTATATAAATATAAAATATTAATTTTATAAAATGTAAGAAAAGGAGAATCATTTCAATGTTTACCATCACACAATGATACTAGCAACAGCAACAAATCCTATTTGGTCTCTAAGGAAAATGTCCACGGTGACATTTGTACTTCCTAGGTGCCTGGTATCCCTGAGGTTGATAATTACAGTTCCTTCCCCTCTCGTTATTTGAGCACACCAGGAAGTATCACAAAACACACAGTAATATCTTTAAAATGGGCTAATTGCAGTCTGTTGGATTTTAGGAAAGACACATGCTAAAGAAGGGGAAAATCAGAACTATTTTCCCTTATAGAGTACTTATATATTTTGGACAACTCCTTCTTAAATCATAACTCAACTTTCAGGGAGGAGCGAAAAATCTCAAGGGCAGTATATACATCAATAGTTACATAGTGGAACAAAAAGTATTGAAGAATTTTGATGAGGAGCATCGTTGTGTCTTGTGGAAGAAAAATACTAGATTGGAGTTGTAACACCCTGGAAAGAAAACTAATAGAATGGTAACCTAATTAAAAAGATGAATAATTCTTTCCTTTAAAAAAAAGTTAATTTACTTTTTTTTTCTTGTATAAAAAACCCATCCTTATGTGTAATGGCTGGAGCCTGGGTCATTTAATGGAGAATTGATTTGGGTTTTCACAAGATAGTGAATTCCTGATAAGGGGACTTAGTGAACACAGTCTAGAGGTCAGGGTTCAAGTAGCTGTAAGTCTTGGAGATGGCATCCAAGGTGGCTTTGGCTCGATGGCAATCAAAAAGGATTGGTGGCTTAATTTTTTAAAGATAGAACTCCTTTCCACCCAGGAGCTGTGTACTCCCAGAAACAGAGAAGCCACTTTGGGGCAGTTTGCTGTGCATTAGGAAGGCCATCCTCTTCTCTTGCTTGGGAATCCACCAAGCACACTCTAGACCTGTGTTATTGCCAGAGCTGAGGGAGGCAATGAATAACTCTTTAGGATGTAAAGTAATGATCATAAATCTGATTGTTTTGAGCAATGATTGAAAGGAGAACCCTTTGCACAGATCCTGGGTCAGTGTCCTTTAATGCAGATCAGCGTCTCTTCCACCCCATTCATCCACTGAGTTCCCAAACCAGGGTCTGATATTGCTCTGAACCCACAAAGTGAACTTAATGAAGGTCAAGAGCCTTGTCTCTCAAGGATGGAAGGTTTAAAGTGAACAGATTGGAAGGCATCCCTGGCTGACCACCTAATGAGAAACCAGTAGGGACCGTCTCGAGGGGACAAGGCTCCACTTTCCACCTCCTCTCCAGGTGGTTAGCACTGACAGTTTGGCAACTTCAGGAAGAAGAACAATGAAAATAACTCACTTCTAAAATATGCTCAAATATATGTTGGCGCAATTGTTTTATGAAGAGAATGAAGTGTAAGACAGATTGATTTATTCTTCATCACAAGCTTAGATGTTTTTCTGATGAGAAAAATAAAGAGTATGGTGAAATGTCATCAATTTATGTTTCTTGGTATATTAAGTCATGTCCTTGTGTAGGAAGATCCATCTGATGGAGTTTTCTATATTCCTAAAGGAATTACAGTCTGCAAGGGGGCAAACCACATCTCTGTCTCACACACAAAGCAAAAGATAAAACCAAACTGCAGAGTCAAAGATCAGGAAGGAAGGAGCCTCCTAACTGCCATTTCCTTCTGCCTACTTCTTCACTGTGTAATGTGAGGCAAGAAGGAATCCATGGAAGAGAACACAGATGTGCACATTTTCAAACTTTCAGTGCTCATAAGCTATTAGGAGGAGGTCATAACTGGTTTAGAAAAACTTCACTTTGTAAATTATGTGCCCCAAACCAAGTGTAATTTGTTTCCAAATAATGACTTGTTCGAACGGCTTCATTGTCAATTATGGGGTCCCAGTGCTAATTCTTCAACCAGTTCATAGCCCAGAGCCTTAAGTAAAGCTGCCTTTCAGGAAGTGCTATTCCAGTAGAGCTAAGGCGAGTTTTCCAGATCGTAGTTAACAAGACTGACATTTGTTTATTTATTTTTCCTTTCAAAATGAATGGCCACATGGAAAAAAAATTCTATTTTTAAACATTAAGAACAGGCTTCCAAATTAATTCTTCCATTCCGAATAAGTGTGAGGCAGGGTTTATAAAGAACTTCCGTATTTACCAGTATCACTGAGGACTCTGCCTTGCTGAACATCTTCCAGGAAGAGAAATATGATACAAGTTACATTTCCTGAGAGTGAAGTGAGAGATGCCTGGAGTTTATAGTAAGTCATTTCTTTCCCAGCTGACATCCACATCACCTGTCCACTTACAGGCAATTTGGCTCGCTGGGCTGGAGAGTCTGTCGAAATGCCTTCCCTCGGGCTTGGGGATAATGTTTTTTTTCAGAGCCACAGAGAGTCTGAAATCTTAGCCTTTTTGTGTTTGCTAAGAGGATTCAGACAGATAGGTTGTTAATGGGAAAACAAAGCTTGGGTGATGCTCTAATAATTTCTCGCCTGTTCTGGTAAGCACTTGTTCATTGTGATGTTACAAATGACTTCCTGTGGAACACAAGCCCTCCTTACAAAAGCCATCCAGCCTCCAAGCAAAAAACACAACCAAAAACATGAGGGTGAATTAAAGAAGCTACTGTTCAGAAATAGAGACCCATTGCAAGTGAGTCCTGTCCACCGTTTCTCACCCAAGGAAGAGCAAAACATCCTGATTTAACCTAGTCTTCACAAGAGTCCCTGGAAATCAGAAATGTCCTTCTGGGATCTGGGTGATCAGCACTTGCTTCAGGATCCACTTAGGAAGTCTCACACCTAACTGAAAGCTGTGATTTCTCAATGGCATTTACACAGTTCCTATTTTTCTTTTCTTAGGGTATACGCTGCTGCTCCTACACCTTTGGCTTTTTAGATGAACGAAGTTCAAACTCTTCAGACCAGCACATATGGCCAATCAGAATAGCCTTGTCTATCTAGATGCTCTCACACCCGTGTTTACTAACCACACAGGATTCTGTGTCCCTCCAGCTGCCTTGGCCTTTAAAAACCAATGTAACCCTCCCTTTAACAGCCATAGCACATGCTGTCCCCCCAGCTCACCTGGCACATTCATGCTTTAAGCCTCAACCTTTCAAATCCTCTGTGAAACTCTTCCTCATCTGGTCTCCCAGAGTGCATGTCACATACATATGACATTGCATTCCACAATAGCTAATTGTTGGCCTCTCTGTCTTTTGAGACAGAAATAACTTGAAAGCATGGACTATGCCTTTATTCATCTTTCAGTCCACAGTGAGTATCCATGATCATTTAGGAATCAAGTGAAATCCTTTGCAGAACTTTTTCTGTGCTAGCATCAAAGCTGAACTCAACAGTGACATACTATCATAAAGCGCTTTTCTGTATAGCCCTCCTAAGCACAGATAATTTTATATGCTTATTTGTGTGTGTCAAAAGAACAAGGCAACATGAGGGCAATTGAAAGAATTGCTCACATTCAAAGCTCTAACTTTTGAGCCCCATAGAGGGAGAACCAGGAGTCAGTAGAACTATATTTACTGATAACTCTGGGAGACTATGAGCAGACACAATGCCGCCTCAGTGCCTCAGAGTCAGAGGCATTGGATCCTTACTATACCCCTCCAAAGTGTGTGTGTGTGCTCATGCACATAGACACAGCACTCTGTCATAAGCTACAGGACAATTCTGGTACCTCAAACCTGATGATGAGCAGGTCTGAGCAGAATTTGACTGGATCTCGGGAAGCAACATTTTTATGGATAGAAATTCCAGCAAGGGCAGGATTCATGGCAAGCAATTTAGAAAACAATGATGGAAGTGGACGTACTTGCCTTTTCTGTTCTTGTTTTGATTTATATTTTCCTTGTAGAGTTAAGAATTAAACTGACACCCAAGGGCATTGCATATGCTACATCCCCAGCTCAATCATACCTTTCTTGTTTTAAACATGAACATGATGAACAACCCCGTGGTTCCCAGAAAATTAACCTAAATAGCCTTTTAGGGGGAACTGAGGACCCCTAGATAATCAGGTAAGGAGTAGGTATCACAACAACAGAGTCATGTGCTCGTGACATCATTTGGACCCTCTAAATGATTGAGTCTTCTGGGACTTATGACTCAGGTCAGAATGAGGTCAGGATTGTGTACAAAATTACATCAAAAGTGAAGTGTATTGGAGCACAAAATTGAATCAAATTTGACTGAGGACATCAGCAAGGGCTGAATGCTGAAGACAAGGCATGCAGTAGGTTTTCTAGGCTACATAGCAGCCCAGTTGGCAGGAAAGATAAACATAGGTATGAGAGAGACATTGTAATACTGATGCTATTGGCACTGGAAATAGAACAATAACTATCAGTATCTCAGAAAAAGAAATTTTAGAGGGCTGAAGAAATCTTGGTCAGATGTGAATGGGTGAAGGGATGAATAAGACAATATGTCAGTAACATTGAGAGGCTTGTGAGTGAAGGGGACTGTTAAGGAAAATGTTTCTAGACTAAGGTGGGATTAAGTATGTATTTGAAGAATAAGAGGCTAAGATACTATGGAGAGATGAGTTGAAAACACAAGAGCAAAGAATTAATAGTGGATAAAGGTAACAGAGAGGGCTGACTGGGGGGAGACAAAGGTCACAATGAGGAAGGCAGAAAGGTCACCTCTGGGGAGTTGCTGAGACAAGGATCCCAAGACGTAAAGAGGGAGATGAGAGGGTTCAAGTAAGATTGCCTAATTCAAACTTATATTCAAGCATCCAGATCTTAATCCTTCATGGTTCCGTCATGTGTATCAGTGCTGATTAAAATTCTCACTGACAAATCTATGACAAATTCACTTAAAATATCTAGTCACAGCAAATCAATTTTTTCTTGTCAATTATTTGAATATTTTATTTTTGTTTAAGGTTATAAAATATTCACTGGTTTTTTAGAGTGAATGTATTTTATTCAATGCAAGTTGTCATTAAAATGAGGTAATTTTATATTTCCATACATTATTTAAAACTTCTACAAGGATTATCTTTAAATTCTTACAGATCTAACACTAGTAATTTTGCTAAAGAGTTTGACTTAAACAAACCCATAGTCCTGAGCCCAGCACTCTGGTCTTCCCTTCCATTTTAGAATGCATGAGCAGTGACTCATCTCACATTCTTGGCATGCCAGATGATAATTAAGGAAGTACTGTGATGACATAAAGAATCATGTGTAACAGTCAGTCAGTCAGTCTCATAAAACAGCTGGGCAGGGCTTTAGCTAAGTCACATGGCCCTTATAGAGGAAGCTTCCTATCTCAAAACCAAAGAATGCCCAAAGGAAAGCCCAGGAGACGCATAGTCACTCTCCATAGCTTAATGGAACAGCAAAGTGATCCTTCAAAACCGCTCAGGAATTAGAAGCTTGTGTCAGAGTTCTGAGCATGGTTTCATGCCTCAGAATTTAGCTCTTTCTAAGCACTTGGAAAGGACCCAACTAAGAGAAAAAAAAAAAGTAAAACATGGGTTAGAAAACAGGCCCATATGAGGGAAGGAATGAAAATACTGAAAATTGGCCCTTATAGGCGTGATGCTTAAAGTTTAGCCTCAATGACAGAGGGCTGGGCTTTGAGTCACGTAGCTTAACCATGCTGAACTGTGAAAGACAACAGGGTTCAGAGCTTTCTTAGGTCATCACAAAGAGAAAGCAAAACTTTTTATTATTATTGTTACTGTTGTTGTTAATTATTATTATTATTCGCTGTTGTTTTTTTAAAGCTTTCTTTAGTTTTAATTATTTCTATGTGTGAGTGTGTGTGTGCATGTGAGGGCCAATGCCCTAAGAGGCCAGAAGTTTTGGGTCCTCCTGGAGCTGGAGTTACAGGGTGCTGTGAGGTACCAGGTGCCGGTGCTGTGAACCCAACTCATGTTTGTGGGAACAGCATGTGTTCTTAACAGCCCAGCTGC